TGTCAATCTAATTCTGGCAGAGGGTTGCCCCCTTTCCCACTGTATCCAAAACTAGACAACATAACAGGTTGTGCTGGCACTGGGGGTTATCAGTATAAAACACACAGAGTTATAATAAGTGTTGTAAAAAGAATGACATAAACAGTATTGTTTTACTGAAAAAAGAAAAAAGGCAAAAGTATTTTTTGAGCAAAATACAATTTTCTTTTTCATCTTGTTAATGATCAAAAGGAAAAGAAAAACAGTTGTACCTGTTGCTGCATTTTTGAAGTTTTTATGGGTTGAGTCAGAAAGTAAAATTACAGATGAAAGGGAGACAAAAAAACAATACCAGGGGACAGAGCCATGAGCCTGCCTGAAAAAAAATGCTGACATGTGGCGGAGTACTGCAACGGTATCATTTTGTTCTGAAGGGCTCCATTTTCTATCATTAACCCCCTGACCTCCGGAAGGTTTTACCCACCTTCATGACAAGGGCATTTTTTGCTATTCAGCGCTGCGTTACTGTAGCTGGAAATTGCTCGGTCATGCAACACTGTACCCAAATGAAATTTATATCATTTTTTAAAAAAACAAATAGAGCTTTCTTTTGATGGCATTTAATCACCACTGGGTTTTTTTATTCTTTATTATATAATTGAAAAAAATTTCAAAAATTAAATGAAAGCCCATTTTTTTCTTAGCTTTTGTTATAAAATTTTGCAAACAAATAATCTTTCATTATAAAATTAGGCCAAAATATATGCCGCTACATTTCTTTGGTAAAAAAAAAAAACTCAATCAGTACATATTAATTAGTCTGTATGAAAGTTATAGAGTCTACAAAATGGTATATATATTTGAAAATTGATCAATGTACCCGATGTTTGGCCTCTTGAGGCCCGAAAATATCAGAACAGTACAAGTACCCAGGGGCGGACTGACCATTTGCAAACTCTGGCACTGCCCGAGGGCCCGGGGTCAGTAGGGGGCCCCATGAGATACCCCTGGTACCTTTTACATAGGCTTTTTTGAGTTTGGGCAAGGACACAGGGGCCCCATGATCCCCTATTGCCCGGGGGCCCCATGAGTTGTCAGTCTGCCCCTGCAAGTACCCCCCAAATGACCCCTTTTTGGAAAGCAGACAGTCCAAGGTGTTAAGTAAGAGGCAATTTTTTGTCACAGATTTTTTGGAAAATTTTAACCACTTCAAGTCCGGACACTTTCACCCCCTTCCAGTCCAGGCCAGTTTTCAGCTTTCAGTGCTATCACACTTTGAATAACAATTGCTCGGTCATGCAGCACTGTACCCATATGAATTTTTTTGCATTTTTTTTAGACAGGTAAAACTTTGTTTTGGTGGTATTTATTCACCACTGGGATTTTTATTATTTTGCTATATAAATGAAAAAGTCCAAACATTTTGAAAAGAAAAGTGTTTTTCAAATTCAATTTTGCAAATAAACAATCTTTCTTCATAAATCTTGACCAAAATGTATTCAGTTATCTTTTTAGTAAAAAAAAAAAAAAAAAAACATCAATTAGTTTATAACCAAAATTTATAATTTTTCAAAAATGTTTTTTACATTTTTATTTTATTTTGTTATATTATTATTTATGGGGTTTTTTTTAACATACTGTCACCCTAGCAGTACAGTGTCACCATGGTGACACTGTAGTACTTGTGGTGGGTGATGAAGATTTTTTTTTACACTGATTGCTTTTACACCCATAAGGGCTGTAAAAGCAATCATTTCTCCTTCTCTCTGGCTGCATTCTTGCAGCCATTGAGAAATACTGTGAGAGCTGTGATTGGTCACAGCTTGTCACATGGTCCACGGCTGTTGTGACAGATTTCACTAGTAGTAAGCAAAGATGTCAGAAGTGACATCTTGCTTATTACTATTCATGTGATCAGGACTTCACACAGCGGTCCTGTACAGTGATCCGTGGACTGGATCGCGGTGCTGCACGCTCCCAGGGAGCGCACACAGGCAGGGAATGAGGAGGCCATTTGTAAACAGCCACCTGCTCTTGCACTGCTCCCTTCTAGCCTTTTATGTACATGGGCCGGAAAGGAAATGGTTAACAGACTGCAGTATAGCGCCATCATATGATTGGTGTGGGGGTTATTGGGGATTTTTTTTCTTACACTGTGATTGCTTGTTACAGTGATGATCTCTGTACCAGAAATAGTTTCATACAATGGGGAGTTCAGCGCTACAACAAGTCATAAACAGGCTGAACCTATCTTCAGCAAAGAGATAAATGACATAAGTCCAGTGAAGTATTATCATATGAAGCATATAGTCCAAAAATAGACTTCAATCACTGTGAGTATGGTCCGTTGTCCTGATGTAGAGGTATAGAGAGATTGCCTACTCACCAGAAGCGCAATCACACTGCGCATATCAAGATCACAAGCATCTGGGGGTCCTGGATAGAAACTGCCTGAACTGAAATCCTCTGGTGGTCCCTCAGTGGTGTGTAAGAAGGATACCGGTCTGGTCACAATGTAATTACTCCTCAGGTCTGCACCGATGTCTGAAATACTGGGGCTAAGGTGTGGAGGCTCAGTGCCAGGTATAGAGAATAAAGGTGCTCATAGTGTAGTAATATTGGTAAAAAATATTTATTATAATGAATTTAAGCAGTACTGTACACACATAAAAGTGACTGCGGGTAGTGGTAGGAAGCTGCTTGTAAGCAATAGTAAAAGCACCTGATGTAGAGGTATAGATAGATTGCCTACTCACCAGAAGCGCAATCACACTGCGCATATCAAGATCACAAGCATCCGGGGGTCCTGGATAGAAACTGCCTGGAGCTGAAATCCTCTGGTGGTCCCTCAGTGGTATGTAAGAAGGATACCAGTCTGGTCACAATGTAATTACTCCTCAGGTCTGCACCGATCTCTGAAATACTGGGGCTGAGGTGTGGAGGCTCAGTGCCAGGTATAGAGAATAAAGGTGCTCATAGTGTAGTAATATTGGTAAAAAATATTTATTATATTGAATTTAAGCAGTACTGTACACACATAAAAGTGACTGCGAGTAGTGGTAGGAAGCTGCTTGTAAGCAATAGTAAAAGCACCTAAAAAGCACTCACCAGTAGAACTCAAATGTTGGCCGCAGGACCTCCTGATCCGGCGGCGTGACGTCAAGGCGTGCAAGGGCTCCTCCTAGACTCGTTTCGTCTGCTGTAGGGGTGATGCCCTACAATCTATCTATACCTCTACATCAGGACAACGGACCATACCCACAGTGATTGAAGTCTATTTTTGGACTATATGCTTCATATGATAATACTTCACTGGACTTATGCCATTTATCTCTTTGCTGAAGATAGGTTCAGCCCAGGAACGGACTGACAACTCATGGGGCCCCCAGGCAATAGGGGATCATGGGGTCCCTGTGTCCTTGCCCAAACTCAAAAAAAGCCTATGAAAAAGGTACCAGGGGCATCTCATGGGGCCCCCTACTGACCCTGGGCCCTCGGGCAGTGCCCAAGTTTCCAAATGGTCAGTCTGCCCCTGGTTCAGCCTGTTTATGACTTGTTGTAGCGCTGACTCCCCATTGTTTGATTCTATTAGAAAGGTTTTGTGGTTCCTTTTTAGTGCAATAGCCGCTTTTTAGAGTGTGCTCACTAACCTGCATACATACAACAGAAATTGTTTGAACTGTCATAAGTGGCTGTCAACACAACAAACACTTTTCTCCTGCGCTAGGAAAGGACTCAGTAGACCCAATAGGAATGTTCTGGAATTTTCTGGAATATGCACTGCTTGCTGCCCTCAACAGACCGGGGTGGTCCGAATACACTGGATACAAATGGAGAAACAGAAAAAGGGCGCACCGACCTAGTGCATTACCGTTTAAAATAATTTATTGAAGAAACAAAATAGGTAGCATAATGTGTCCTCGAAATGCGTTAGCCAGTTGGTCATCCAGGGTTTCATCGTATGGACTGATGTTGTTTGGATCATACATCTTGTTCAGTTTGACATGCCTGTGTTAATATGTCCATTGTGAGTATGATACCTATTTTGTTTTTTCAATAAATTATTTTAAACGATAATGCACTAGGTTGGTGTGCCCTTTTTCTGTTTCTCCATAAGTGGCTTTCATTCATGACTCATTGTTTACTATTATGATGCTGTGATTGGCCCACAGCTATCGCATGGGACAGGGTGTTGTGATTGGCTCAGATACCATGTGATAGCTGTGGACCAATCACAGCATCACCATAGTAAGCAAGCTGTCATGAATGCAAGCCATTCATGACTGTTTTTGGTCATAGCGATTACATGATACTCCAGCTACTCACAGCAGCAGGACACAGAGCACTGTGAACTGCTGTGTCTGGTGGATCACAGGATCACACTGCTGCGCACCAGTGTGCATGAGAGGGGCAATGTACAGCTACTTTGCCTGCTCAAATCGCTGGCTAGCAGTAAAACTACTGTTACTTGGTTGGCAAGTAGATAAACAAACATTCTTGATCTCCAGTCCAATTATGGTGATGTCATCAGTCTGCTGCAGGCAGGAAGAAGCATTTCCTCAGTCTCCTCTCCCCCACTGATCAGACTTCAGCATTGTAATTTTATACCAAGTCCAAAAGTGAGAGGTGGCAGCTGGGGCTGATCTGTGTCAGACATTTGTGAGCACAGCCAGGAACTACACAGACACTCAAATTTACATGACCTCCACTGCCTGACCAGACTGTTTGCTAATTTTGCAACCATCTGAAATCATCACCCCAAAATCTTTTTTTTGCACTGTAGATCTGGCCAACACTGTATGCCCAATATTGTACGCTATCAAAATATTTTTTTCCCCTATATGATCTTAGAATAAAGATGGCGCCGTAGTTCTGGAGAGAAAAGCAGAAAAAGGCATTGTTAGGGGGAGTATTGTGATCTCTGTAAGAGGTAATACACACTTGGAAGCAGGGGCGGACTGACAACTCATGGGGCCCCCGGGCAATAGGGGATCATGGGGCCCCTGTGTCCTTGCCCAAACTCAAAAAAGCCTATGAAAGGTACCAGGGACATCTCATGGGGCCCCCTACTGACCCCAGGCCCTCGGGCAGTGCCCGAGTTCCCCAATGGTCAGTCCTCCCCTGGTGTGAACTATGCCCATAGGATAACCTGGGTTTTGGACTGTCTATGTAGTTGAATTGCATTGAAAAATGCATCCATCTGCATCTGGTGTAAATGAACCCTGCACCCCACTCCCTGCACCCCAATCCCTGCACCCCAATCCCTGCACCCCATTCCCTGCACCCCAATCCCTGCACCCCACTCCCTGCACCCCAATCCCTGCACCCCACTCCCTGCGTTCAGTGTGCAGGTCCGCATGCGCATTTACTTGCATTTGTAATGTGTTTTTGTCACTTTTGAAGTGCATTCGTGTCCCATTTTTAAGGCATTTTGTATGTTTATTTTTTACGGAGTTGCATTTACATGCATTTGCAGTGCATTCATGTGTGTTCATGCATGTGCCTGTATGTTTATGTGCAAAAAAAATGCGGCATGCTGTCCCTTTTTTTAAACACACATGAAAGCACCGCAGTGGTGTAGAGAAGGTTCGCTGAAATACATGCGTTCGTTTGTAGTGCAATTGATGTAAACAAACCCAACAAGTGCTTCTTTTAACCTCTTGCCGCCCACTCATAGTAGATTTACTGTGATTAGAGCAGCTACAGGCTCAGCAACATACATTTATGTCAGCGCCTGCTTCTACGTTTTCGGGCGCTCTGACCCGAGCTCATACCTCCCAACTTTTTGAGATGGGAATGAGGGACACCTATTAAAAAAAGTATGTAGGCATAGGACACACCCCCTGCCACGCCCTCCTTAACCACTTGCCCTCCCCAGGATTTACCCCTCTTCCCAACCAGGCCATTTTTTGCATTATGGCGCTAAGTTACTTTGACTGACAATTGCGCGGTCATGCAACGCTGCACCTAAATTAAATGTACGTCCTTTTTTTTCCCACGAATAGAGCTTTCTCTCGGTGGTATTTGATCCCCTGTGCGTTTTTAATTTTTTGCTCTATAAAAAAACGACAGACAATTATGAGAAAAAAAACTATATTTTTGACTTTTTGCTATTAAACATGTCCAGTATAAAACTAAAAAAAATCTGATTTCGTCATAACTTTAGGCCAAAATGTATTCTGCGCCATGTCTTTGCTAAAAAAAAAATCCCAATACATGGTTTACGTGAAAGGTATAGCGTTTACAAATGGCGATATATATACTAGGATTTTAATTTTATTTTTACTACTAATGGCGGTGATCAACGACTTATAGCGGGACTGACACTGGGGGGAACTGACTTGGTGTCACTGACATCCCCAGCGACACCAATACAGTGATCAGTGCTAAAAAAAAAAGCACGGACACTGTACTAAGGGCACTGGGCAGAAAGGGGTTAACATGAGGGGCGATCAAAGGATTAACTGTGTGCTGTTTTACTTGTGTCTGTGTACGTGTGCTTCACTGTAAGCACACTGCTTTGCATGGCTGTGCTGTGGACAGCCATCCAAAGCAGTGTGCAAGAGCTGACAGGGAGGAGAACTGTATTGTTTACAAGCAGTTCTCCTCCCCGTGGGAGATGCTCAGCAATCACCGTGCGCCAGCGAGTAATCACCAGCCGCAAATGGCGGCATGGGTAGGGCGCACGTGCGCCTTCTACCCAGGGATGCAAAATCATGTATATATACGTGATTTTGCACACCAGTGCTGCCCTGTAGCGGTATTTCTTCTATAGGGCAGTCGGGAAGCGGTTAAAAGTGAATAATCCAAAAATATAATGATTAATTAAATCCACAAGTGCTTACTTTTACCACAATTATTTCCTTATATTGGCTTTTGAACTTTACAAATACAGCAATTTAGAAATTGGATGCAAGGTTTAGCAACAGGAAACACTTTTTGAAAGATAAAAAGTGCATTTTATATACAACTATATAGGTCAGACCAAAATGAGGGACAAAAGAGGAGGAAAGAGGGACAGAGGGACTGTGTTCTGAATCAGGGACAATCCCTTGAAATCAGGGACAGTTGGGAGCTATGCATGCTGAAATTGGACACAGCAGGTTTCCATTGATGAGTATGGCATAAACCTGCAGATTGGCTGTATCCAATCACAGCACAGAGTTCTGTGTTTACAAAAACACATAGAACTCTGTACACAGAACAGCGATCTGACTGTTTTTTCTTCTACCTGAAAAGCAAGGAGAAAAAACAGCCAGATCTGTGAGTAAAATCAGCGCACATTACACTTGCTAGGCAGACAGTTATCCCCTTGATTTCCCCCATAATGTTAACCCCTTCCCAGCCAGTGTCAGTAGTATGGTTTTATCATTGATCATTATATTAATGCCACAAGTGACATCAGTGTCACTTAGTCAGTAAGTGTCTCTCCCAGCCAGTGTCTGTTAGTGTCAGATTGGCCGCCACACTATCACAGTCCCACTATAAGTCGCTGATCATCTCCATTACCAGTATAGCGTCTTTAGTTGCATAAATTCCATTATATATACCATCATTTTACACGCTATAACTATCACACAAACCAATCAATATACACTTATTAGGATTTCGTTTTACCAAAGACATGTAGCAGAATACATTTGGGCCTAAATTTATGAAGAAATTGGATTTTTTTTTTAATTGGATATGTTTTATAACAGAAAGTAGAAAATATTGGGGTTTGTTTTTCAAATTTGCAGTCTATTTGTGGTTATATAATAAAAAAAAAAACCCAGCAGTGATCCAATACCACTTAAAGAAAGCGCTATTTGTGTGAAAAAAAATTATAAATTTCATTTGGGCACAGTGTTGCATGACCGTGCAATTGCCAGCGGCATATTTTTTGGCCTAATTTTATAACGAAAGATTATTTGTTTGCAGAATTTTATAACAAAAACTAAGAAAAAATGGGCTTTCATTTAATTTTTTTAAATTTTTTCGATTATATAATAAAGAATAAAAAAACCCAGTGGTGATTAAATGCCATCAAAAGAAAGCTCTATTTGTTTTAAAAAAAATGATATAAATTTCATTTGGGTACAGTGTTGCATGACCGAGCAATTTCCAGCTACAGTAGCGCAGTGCTGAATAGCAAAAAATGCCCTGGTTATGAAGGGGGTAAAATCTTCTGGAAGTCAAGTGGTTAAAGCTGAACTCCAGGGAAAAAAGTTTCATCCAAATTCTGTATATTCCTCAATAGCCACAAAGGACATACAATAAATCCACTTTGTGCGCCCCGAATATCTTTTCAAACCCAGATGTTAATTTGTAAAAGTAGCAGTGACATCATCACTGTGTTGTATATAGCCCAGGGGCGGACTGACCATTTGGAAACTCGGGCAGTGCCCGAGGGCCCGGGGTCAGTAGGGGGCCCCATCAGATGCCCCTGGTACCTTTTTCATAGGCTTTTTTGAGTTTGGGCAAGGACACAGGGGCCCCATGATCCCCTTTTGCCCGGGGGCCCCATGAGTTGTCAGTCCGCCCCTGCTCTGATTAGTGTAGTTCCCACAAGTACATTTCTTCAGTTACGGAAATGCCAACTGTCCCAGGACAGTCCCGCATCTATGACCTTAGTCCCAAAGATGATGTCCCAAGTGATGTCCAGTGACCTGTTGGTCATGCACAGCTACACAGTTGGTCAGGTCGAAAAAAGAGAAAAGTCATCTATTACAAGCAATAAGCAATATTGCCCGGGGGCCCCATGAGTTGTCAGTCCGCCCCTGATATAGCCTTTGCATAGAACAGAGCTGTGGGGGGACCCAGAATGCCACACCCACTATAAAAAAATGAAGGGAGGGGGCGGAGACAAGACCAGTCACCCTGGACAGAGCAGAGAGATCAGCAGTGACTGGTCTTTATTACAGGAAAAGTCTGACATTGGATTACTGCACAGATCTGGAGGAAATACACAAAGCACACCAAGATTCAAGGAAGAATACACATGATGAATGTATTTATACAATATTTACTTATCCCGGAGTTCAGCTCTAACAGATATGACCGGTGCTTGTTGAAAGCAAAAATCATCCAAACGTGTTTTGAAAACAATAGAGGACAGAACTCCCCTTTAATAATGAGGATTCAGACAATGGGGCTCTCCTTCCTCCGGCTGCCATCGTTCCTAATGAGAAGGAACACATGTAAGAAAGCGAAGAGGTGATCCGGAATTAGGCATTCTCAGCAGCGCCGCGTTTGTGTATTGCTGGTTTGGAGTTCACGTACACTTATATATTCCCCCGGTTTGAACCCTCTCGAGCCTCTCTTGTCTCAGCCTGATGCTTTGATCTTCTCCGCTACCAGAGAGTCTGCAGCACACAGAGAAAAAATGTCACTTCCTCTTAAAAATCGCCCATTTCAGCCTGAAGATTTCTGGCGAGGAATGAAAAAAAAATAAAAAAATCCCGAAACAAAAAAAAAAAAAAAACCCTCAAAATGTTATTGTTCTATCTCCTTGCCGGTCCAGTTACCAATGGAAAAAAAAATGCATTAATCCAGTTTCAGTTCTTTGAAAAGAAATCAAAAGCGTTTTTTGGGGTTTTTTTTTAAAACGGCGCTAATAAATATTTCAGCCCTCATCGAGCCTAACCGCTCGCTGTGTTTATTAAATAGACTTTCCTTTAATTCCAGTGATTCATTTTAATAGGTCAAGACTTGGCTGTGATTTAAATAGACCACTGAGGAAAAGCGCCACGGTTTAAACATTGTAACAATATGGATTATTATATTTAATTGGCCTGGCTATTACTTGTTTGGGCTATGTTGCTACCGGTTTTAGCTCTGGTCTCCGATGGCCCTTAAAACCGCGAAAAAAAGGTTACGACCCCGGCAGTCAGAAAGAATGGAAGAAGAGGAGTTTATGAGCCAAACCGAGACACCGCGAAAGGAAAAAGGGAAAGGATGGAGAGAATGGGCTGAGAGCGCGCTGGAGGCTGTGCAGGGCAAAGGGGGATTTAAATAGCAGTTGTGCCGGTGAACATCCTCCAACTAGCCCTTGCCTCGGACCTGGAGCTGCTTCCTAACTACACTCTGCAGAGATGAGAGCAGAAAAAAAAAATTCTTCTTCCCTTCTTAGATAATGATGTTCA